TGCACTCACAAAATTGGTTGGTAAATTCAACGAGTGGGTGCATCGACCTGGTATATCAAGTTTCTGCAATTTTTTACGGCAAATCAGTAGATTTTCGGGATGTAGATTGCTTACTTTCAATTCATGAATGAATAAAGCAACGACATGGTTGAACTTCTTTGCATGGAAAGACGTTTAAAATAACAAAATCAAGACGTATTTAATGCAATTGCATTTATATCGAGTCAATTTCTTTTCAATAATATAACGGGATTTTTACTACCGGTGATTTGGGTATTTTAGCCCCAAAATACCTTTAAATCGACTTTATCTTCTAGGAGTTCGACAGAATTTTTCCTTTCTTCGCTTAAATTATTCCGTAGCACTTTTCTTCAAGAATCTGATAAGATTTTGCTTGAGGCAGATCAAAAAACTTAAATTCGATCGAATAGCTTTCTACTTTCACAATACACGGTCTCGTCAAGGTGCGTCTTTGACCTCGCAGTGTTGGATCGTGAATTCTCTTTTTATGCTGTTTGCCTATTTTGAAATCTCTGTAAATGAAAACTAAAGGGGTTGATATGTGCGAGTTAATGACGCGCCTTATCAACACATTGTGTTGGAGTTCACTGCTTGTTTTTAGTTGAACAGATGTTCAACTTTTAAAAAAAAAAATTCAAGGCCTGAATAAGCACTCGTCAATTTTTAATATGTAGCTTCAACATCGGACATAGCTTTTACATTCGGATAATTTCAGTTTATCCTGTGTCTTCCATGAACTCATATGTAGCTTCTAATGTACATTCAGATAATTTCAGTTTATCCTGTGTCTTCCATAAACTTAAATATTGAATATCCACAGCAAAGTGATTGAAGGCATTGCCTCCAACGATGTGGCTGATGCCATTTTATGTGACATTCGATACATTTGATTTAAAGTACTTAAAAAATGATGATAATATACTAATCTGCCGGCAATTTTGCAAAAAAAAATTAGAATGTAATGAACTGAATATTACTGCTGAATTTCATCTTTGGATGAAGCGAGTTAAAACTCCATTGGATAAAACTCCATTATTTTCTAACGAAATGATCAACGTATTCAACTTTGCTTTCAGGAATCACCATTTTAGACGGTCCCGTTTTCCACGAGCAGAGGAAATTTGCTGTGAGGCATTTGAGCCAACTTGGATTTCAAAAAAACGAAATGAAAGCTTTCATTCAAATGGAGCTGAAACATTTTCTCGATTTTTTGAAGCCGAGGGAAGGAAATGTGTGCATCAATCCGTTGTTAACATCAGCAGGTAAATGTAGCGTCTTTTGGGGATGGGAGAGGGGGGGGGGGCTCTGAGAGCCGTTTTGTAACGCATAGCTGAGGAGGGAGGAGAATGCATTTAGATATCAATAGAAACATGACAAAAAAGTACAAAAACTTTAAAAATGTTTTAGAAACATTTGAAATTCAGTCTGAATATTATTTGAATAATTGTCCATGTATTCATGCCAAACGAGTGTCGATTGACGGGAAAAACGGAAATAATGGGCAGTTAGGGTTAGGGAAGGTCTGAGCTAGAAGAAAACGTCATACATGTTTTCTTTTCAAAATCTTTCGTAGAAAGCAAATCACACTAAGGGAAATTCGAAAATCAATTTCTGAATAAGATATTAACAAGTATTTTTAATACAGATGGAATGGAAGTTTACACCATACAAATGACGTCAATTGAATTTTTGCTGATTGACTAATGTTGATTTTAAACACTCATTTCTTATTCAGGAGTTAATTCCCGAACTTCCCGTTGTGTGATTCGATTTCCTCGTGAAATTTCGAAGAGGCAAGGCAAAATGCCACGTAGTAGTGCTTTTAATTGTACCTTGTCTTAGTGACCCATTCCATTACTCCTCGCGTAATAAGAGCTACAAATTGCATACATTCTTATTTGAAGGCGTTGAATGAAATTGATTCTCCCGGAATAACTGAATTCATTTTCACAAGTACTCGTTTTAATTTTCAGTTCTGAATGTTATTTGGACCTTTGTCGCGGACCGCAGATTTTCATATGATGATCCCTTTCTCAACGACTGGTTTGACCTATTTAACAGGCGAGGGAAGGTTTTTGATTTATCCGGTGGACTACTATCACAGTTTCCCTGGATCAGGTTTCTGGCACCAGAAAAATCGGGCTACAATCTAATCTTGAAAATAAACGCTGAGCTGAAAAAATTCATGGATGTAAGTGAAAAAACCTGATTACCTTATCCCTCTTCTTCTGTTGACAATGTTTGAACAATAAACTTTTTTATTTATTAACCGTCTGTACGGATGATAAATTTGAAATGAACAATGTACTTTAGATATACCAACTGTAGATACTGAGATATAATTAAGTGCCGTTAGGCTGCAAATAGTGGTAATCTAGGATTGCGCGAAAGGTCTAAGAAAATATATGAGGATTGCGAGAAAAAGGCACAAGGATGAATAGAAACCTTAACATTTGCTACAATAATGCGCGAATTTAAAATGAAGTTAATTTAAGGTAGAAGTTCGGAAAAACAGGAAACAGGCGGAAAATAAACGCATTTTATGTTGACATTAGTTTGTTAGTTTAGGTAAGACAAGTCATCGATGTCTTACCCTCTGATGATAAATGAAGTGAAAAGATTGAATAATGGTCGTTGGTATAAAGATCTTCCCTAACTTTTGTCGGAAAAAATATTTAATCGGGAGAAACGAGGCAACGTTAGAATGCTTGTACGGCGCGGCGTCGGAACAGAGGCATTTTAAGCATGATTATTCGATTTCGCGATTATTCTGACGCGAGTTCGAATAATCGCGTCGAACACAGTGCGGCCGGCGCTGCATGCGTTAAACATATATTAGCGCCTGCAAGACTTTCGGAAGACTTCACGCATTGCGCCTAACAGTGCGGCGGCGTATAGCGCCTACAGGACTGCATGAATACTTCTCGCATTGCACCAAACGCAGGGCTGTCGGTCGGTTGGAGCGAAACGCTTATTAGCACATACAAGGCTGGAGGAATGCTGTGGAGTTGGACTGTGTGTCATCATTCTTGACTTTCTGCTCAGTTTTTACCATAATTAAAGGAATAATTTGTATCCTCATCGTAACAACTCAGAAACTCAGATGATATTTAATTTCTTTTTGGTTCCATTAAAAGAAAAAAGAACAAACGTAAACATCGCGTCGAAATTTTCAATACTTTTATTTGAGAGCATTTAGGTAAATTCGTGGAAACTTTTCAGAAAAACTGTGTGTAGCTTTTTAAAACATGTATTAAAAATAATACATAAAAGTGGTGCATAACGTTGCAGTGAGAGATAAATGGACGTATTTCTGTCAAACGGAGCTATGTGCATTATGACGTGAGCTCTGTTATGCATATACTCTTATGGGTCTCAGGGCTCATGTATCAATGCACATAGTTCCGTTTGACTGAAATACGTTAAAATATAGGCTTTCTTTCGGGTGCGTCCGTCGGATTTTAAATCCATTCATCTCTTGAACAACTTGAATATGGTCGTTTTACGATTTTTTATGCGCCGCTTATTTCAGTAGTTGGCGGCCGCGTAGCGGCTACAGGCCCCTAGTTCACTTTTTAAATGACTATGAAAGCTCTCTGGGCCATTCGTGCTGCGAGGGCTATCCATCGAAGAGAGGCATGCTCGTAAGTGAGGAGGGAATGAATAGTCTTCCGAGATGTAGTTATCTACCACAAACTACCAAGGTTGCCAGATTAACGATTCCTCGTTGAATATTGAATATTCGCGCAAAATTTCATTGAGTTTACAGTACCAGAAAAATTCGCGCAATCCTATGCATCTACAAAAAGGTAAAAAAGGAGACATCCGCGCAATCCTATCGCAGCCGCAAATAGCACTACAAAGGTAATACCGTTGCAAACTTGTACTAAAAATTAAAATAGATCGAAAAGTAATGCTATGTAAAATTTTTCACGAGATAAATGAGTTAAAAATCCAATTAAATTTCCTACAAATTTATTTGACTCTTCATTTTACTTCTTAAGTAAAATTCTTAACCTCAGGTCATATCCACGGCGCAAGGGCAAAACCACGTACCGTAATTGCGGTGTTTCAAAACTTCCGCTCCTATAATTTATTTTTTTGGAGAAACAAGCCAACTTCATGACAAATGTTACGATTTAGATAATCAAACCATGGAGTCCTTTTGAACAATTTTACCTTTGGTAATTCTAGTTTTTCTAGCTTTTCCCTCTATCCGAATTTTATATCCAACATGAAATAAAAAAATCCTATCTTAACATGTAAAGTTTTAGGTTATCAGTGATTTTGGAGGTATGAATATAGGGATCCCTTCATCCCTTGTGAGGGATATTCTGCCAATAGAGAAAGAAATCAAAGAAGTTTTCAAGAAATTATTTTAACTTGTTTTCAAAAGCAAAAATAAAGTATGACAGGAAATCTACAACTTCACAAACATCTGATTGCGGTGGACGCGCGGGTCGTAAGACAGTATGTTGAAGTTTTTTTTAGCCAACGTGCGTTGAAAATTCGGTATAAATACATTGCTTTATGCTGAATTTTTAACGCACGATGGCTAAAAAACTCCAACACACTAACTTTCGCAAACGCAGATACGTGATTTATTTTGCTGTCCATCGATTTACGACTTTTCCGTGAGTTTTCTTCGTACTCGTAAAAATTACCAGTTCCACATTTTCTCCAGCAATTACACGAGCTGTGGTACTAATGTTACGTATGTGATTATTTCAATGAATTATGTAATTATGTGCAAAGAACCTATTTAATTATTGGGCTATTATTAAATAAAGTTATATCTAGTGGGTGGGCGTGGGTATATCTATTCACGGAAAACTGACTCAGGTGTGGTCCTAGATTGGTACCACCTAAATTTTTTGTATACCTAACCATCGAACGCTCTAAACACCGGTCTGAGCAGGACTAGAACCCACCCAAAATCTGGCTGACATTATTTGGCTAGGCATTAAAACTAAATCGTTTTTTCAGTGTTTAGTCAGTAAGACATACATTAGATTTTCGAAACATCGAGCGAATCGAATCGCTGCTCAAATCGGAAGGCATAGAGCAGATATAATCTGCATTTGATGACTACTGACATCATTAGTTTAAATATCATAAGTGTTTTATTTTGAATACATTTTCCAGACAGAAATTGAGCGACATAAAGCTAACGAATCTACGGAGCCAAGAGATTTTATCGACGTATATCTCCGAGAGATCAAAGCGGCTGGTCCAGATTCTCCTGTTTTCAACGGTTAGTAATTTCTCTGTGAGTGTAAAAACCAGTGAACACTAAAAACCATAAGACATTGACGCAAATACTCGATTTCTCGCTCCGCAACATTAGATTAACTTTTGTATGGGCCATAATAAATCTAATATTTAAACTGTAAGGTCGCTTTTCTCGACATTACACAAATATCACTCACCTTTGTGACTCATCGGAAGTTTCAGATACACAACGCGCTTTGTCTATAACTTCCTCTGTTAGCGCAGGACTTAAGAGTAAAGAGTCATCGTGAAAAAACTCGCAAAAAAATGGACCAAAAATGATAAATACCTTGCAGTGTGTTTTTAAAGGAAACGTAGCAAAAAATTCAGTTCATTCCCCTGGATGTTGTACCTTTCTATTCGCCAATTTATTACTTGAAATTTTTTGATTATTCCATGATACATTTTAAAAAAATTTCACTTGCAACTTTATAACTCTTGAAAAAAAAAATCACAGTCACATTTTTAAATCTCTATAAATGATTAGATGATAGATGTGTCAATAGGGTATGCATGTCATGGGACTGAAACTTTTACTTGAGTATGTTGAATAAGATGAAAATGATAGTATTCTTATTGAACTACCAAGATTTGTTTGTTTTTCATATTTGATACAGAGGACCAATTGATTGCTGTTTGTTTGGACTTTTTCATTGCTGGTCTGCACACAACAAGTGACTCATTAACTTTTGCTTTGATTGCAATGGTTAAGTTTCCAGAAGTTCAAACTAAAGTTCAGAAATGTCTGGATGAAGTGCTTAGCGTTGACGAAATCCCTCATTACGATGACAGGCAACGGTAAGAGATATATTTTAAGGACAACCTACAGCAGTGGTGAGGCGTGAATGATCGACTATCGATATTTTTCCATTTGAAACTATAGTATAGAACCGACTATTAAGGTGTTCGTTGCGAGCACCCTGTTTATCGATCTCTTTCCATAGGTTTAAATGGTAGATCAATCGCTATATCACATAGCTCGTCACGCCACTGACTCGCAGGCATTCTGCCGAAATTATTTAACGGTATCACTAGCGGATCTATTAGAGCTGCGTAGAAAAGTAAACTATTTCATGACGTGGCATCCGGTCCAGTTGGCCATGCTAGCCATCGTAATTGCATTTCCTTTTCCGACACCTTTAAGTCCAATCAATCGGGTAACACACAGGAAAGTTTTAGGAGACTTAAACGCAGCGTAAGAAAAGCAAAGTATTTCCTATTTGTCAAGTCCAATTAAAAAACAACTCTGTGAAGAACATTCTCTTGTCCAACGCATTTGATGAATTTGGAAACACAGGAAAGATTGGAGACTTAAACGCAGCGTTAGAAAAGTGAACCATTTCATGCAGGCGTGGCAATTCCCTATTCACCCAGTCCAGTCAGCCATGGTAGTCATGGTAGAAACCATTTTCTTTTCCCACATCTTAATGAAATCAGTTTATTTTCTGTCTATTTGCGTTCGCTTTCAATCGTTGGCAAACTTCATTGATTTCTTTCCTTTGTTTTATCCAAAATTCTGAAATTAATTCCATTAATTATATTTTATTACCTTCATGGGAGAGTTTGATGGGAAACTTTGATAGAAAAACAAGCACATTTGCATCCTCGGATGGTGGTCACTCACATTCTGAAGAGTCATACTTCTCGAACTCAAAGTCCCTTCATTCCGCTGGGTATGCAATTTGATCTCCGAGTAGTTAAAATAATTGTTCGAGGTTGAAACAAATTGCAAGGGACCATATTGAGTTTCAGAAACATTTAAGATACATTCAATTGGATGATTTTGTTAAAGAGACGACGTAGTCTCCGTAACACTTGGACTCGGCTTGGGTCGGCAGAAAGTATGACTATCCCCTCCAGAGTGGATCCAGCAATTTGGCAACATCGGATTTCCTCCATTTAAACTCATGTTAAATAATCGATTTTTGTCTGAGCACCTGGCCCCTTCAAGAATTGATACATTTCCATTGGTTTAAATGGAGCAAAAACAATATTGCCAATTTGCTGGATCCGCGAACGCTCCCTTTGAATCGTGTTTTATTCTATATACATAGAATATATCGATAAATACATACCCTTAAACCATACTTTGAGTTACATTAAATGTTCGCATTGAACATCTAATTTTAATCTTTCGTCCAATTTTTTCACGACAATTTGTTGCCTTTTCGTTTTTCTTGGAAATTTCAATTAGTTTCTATTTCGTTTTAGGTTACCGTACATCGAGGCTGTCCTCCTGGAGTCAATGCGGTATACACACGTTGTGCCGTTCATAGGCCCGCGGCGTGTGATGCAAGATGTAGTGGTTGATGGATACCGCATACCGAAGGTAAGTGCGTTTTGAATAGCAACACTGTAAATTGATCGACACTCAAAGTTCCTTCATTTCAAAATCAAAAGTATTCAAGAAGTATTATTCAGTTGTTCTTAATTCGCCTTCAATTGCGTCTGCAGAAATTGTTGTTATGAATAAGTTGTGCGTGCTGATTTTGGCTTGTTACATACTTGACTCTTTGAAGGCGTTTTATGCGCGAAAGTAGCGTACCCTGATGTTGAGAGAAAAAAGCTAGTAGGAATTGAGCTTTTTAACTTCTGTTATTTTCCAACAGGGTGCGCCTCTTGAGCACATAAAACGCCTTCAGAGAGTCATGTATGTAATGTGCTGAAATTAGCACGCACAACATATTCGTAACAACAATTGCTGCAGACGCAGCTGAAGGCTAATTGAAAACAACCGAGTAATGGGCCTCATACAAACCTCAGCTAGTAGAAGATTTGATTTTGATATAAAATAACTAAAAAATCACGATAAGCACATCGGGAAAATCTGAAATATACTCTTAACTTCACAATCTGCGTGAACAATATGCGTTTCTTAAGCTTCAGGCTTCAAAAATATTACTGCGGCACAGGTCAATAATTAGGAAGAAAAACTCTTATCTAACCCTTACACACTAGGATGCTAAGCAATATTCAAGATGGCCGACGCCAACCCGCCAAAAAATACGTGACGATACGGGGCTTTATCAACCAGCGCGTTGTGTTTACATTTTCCTTGCGTTAATAAAAGGCACCCCTCTTATGAGGAAAAATAATTAACCAACCAACATTTTTTTTATCTTCAATGTTCAATACTATGCAGCCACTTGGAAGTGAGAAAACAGCCCTTTTTGACATTTTAAGGTATGGACGAAAGCCTGAAATCTGAAAATCACATGTTTTTATTTGGTTTTAGAACACCCTTGTTTTTGGGGATCTTGACGAGTACTATCGCAGCCAGGATTCTTGGGGTGATCCGGAAAATTTCAGACCAGAACGTTTTATACGAAAAAATGGAGAAGTGATTTCTGAAGACAAACATTTCTTCTTTGGACGAGGTAAGACCTACTCGTGGATTATGTTCAGTTTATAGCATCACATACTTAAAGCCGGAATTTGTACTTCTACTAGGGGCTTATACCCTTATTTTTCATGTACACCTTTCCCTTTCACATGTCTTTTTTTTTTTTTATTTATTTTCATTTAATTTTCTGGTTTGTCTTTGAATTGGTCCTAATTTTTTCTTTGAAGTACCTAATAAATATAATAAATTAGTAAACATATTAATACACGGTGAAAAGAAAATAACTAATAGCGTGAAACAATAAACATATTATTACGCATTGAAAAGGAAATAACTAACAGCGTGAAACGTTCTGATTGGAAATGAGAAAGAAAAATTGGAGGTTATTGACTTGAAGAGGAAAAATTGGAAATAGGAAAAAGATGGAGCCAATCACGATTTGGGGGTAAAATTGGAAAAGAAAAAACGCGGGAAGATAATATGAAAAAGCGTAAAAAAAAGACGGGAAAAGAAAAATGTAAGTTGATGGCAGTTGAGTGTTGGAGGTAACCTCATTTAATAATGATTCTTGAATGAAAACAGCTGATAAAAAGACAGCAAATAGTTTAGTAAGATGCGTAGCAACAAAACTTTTCCGAAAAACAAAAAAGGAAAAAAACCCTACTGCCCCTCATCCAGCTTATGAGTTTTTAGGGATTTAAAAATCGGGGACAAACCCCAGAAAATAATTTATAATTTTCCCGAAGCATTGAGTACAACACCTTTCAAATGAACCAACGCCCCTCACAATTAGTACATAGGTTAATTCACAATTTCATTCTATTTTTCAATTTATATATTAGGATAGGTTAGGATCTCTCATATGCAAAGAGGAAACAAGAGCCGCAATTTGAATTACGGGCTGAGAGGCACCATGTACTTTTATGAGTCGTCTCTGATCGGCTGATCCACCTAAATAATTAAAATAAAAATGATTAAAAGTTCATTATTTTTGCCGGGAGTTTTGGAGTCTTTGATTTTGGTTATAATACCGGTGACGTTCAAGTTTGAGGTCAAAAATAGCTCCATCGATTTTGAAACTGAACAGAAAATGAATTTTTGAAGAAATGTGCAATAGATACCTCGATTGCAAATTCGGATAATTTTGATTGAGCCATGATTGCAATTCAGACCACTTCTACTATTTTGGATTTTTAAATTTTGAAAATTAGACGGAAAATTAAAAGACACTAGCTTGCATCAAGAATTACAAAAATCGGACGAACAGGAGCCTCACATCGTAGGATCGGTAGGGCTCTAAACAGAGATTTAAATGACACCAGTCAATTTACAAACGTGAGTGCGCCTTCATATCCGTCTGATACTGTGCAATACTTCCGGGGTGGAATAGTTGCTCGTTGCGCCTTCATGAGCTTCGACTTCATGGCAGATGATCACGACTACCGCTGAAACTGCATTTTGGAGCGTGCGCAGTTTTACATATTTTCTCATCACCGACGGTTCATAACTCAATTTGCGACGTTGCAAGTTTTTCAATACCTCTTTTGTGCGGGTAAACGAATGAAAAATGTTAAAACCTGCCGTGATTTTTCCGAGATAAGATGAAAAATATTACTTTAATGTTTCATTCAAGTCTAGATATTCGTATGCGCTCCTTAAAAACAAAAAATGAGTAGGATCCTTCGAACGAACAAAAGTAGATCTGAAAATAGCCTTTGACGTAAACGGCCTTTCGACATTTTGTTTCTTAATCTGCTTTTTGGAGAATTCTTACGGGCCTCTGAAAAAGGCAAGAAGCTACTCTGAAGAGTAATATTTTTTTTTAAAAAAATACTACTCTTTAATCACTTCGCTCAAAACATTTTTGTTTGATCGGATTGACTTCTTTTCAGCATATTTCCGCCTTTCTTTGCTATTTAATATATTATTCTCATCTCGTGGCGATGCCTACCGCGAGACCAAGAAACCTTCTTTTATGCACATTCTACATAGCTGCATTGCAAGGACTTCTTTACCACTAAATGACCAATTATTAAACCACTTTTTTTTTTGCTTTCAGGAGCTAGGAGTTGCATAGGAAACGTGCTGGCAAAGCAGTTTGTCTTTACATTCTTCTGCGGCATTTTGAAGAAGTACAAACTGTCACTGGCACCCTCGAGCAAGATGCCCGGTGAAATCCCCGGAATCACCACGAAACCAGAGCCATTTTTTGTTTCGATGACACAAAGAGGTCGTTAGTAAATGAAATTCATTTTCATTCAGAAGAACTTTACTAAAGTCTGGTTTTTACGAAATTCCCATCGCAAAATTGAGAAATGATACGAGGATTGACTGGTGTAAAAGCTGCGTCTCCTAGTTACTCACTTGAAAATGGAATGTTTCCCCTCTCTTTTTATCCTTTAAATTTAAATTTTCCTACGTAGCTCCTTTTTGAACTTTTATACCATGATGATAAAGTTTATAGTAGCTATTTCAAGACCAATTTTTCTTGTGTTTTTTGTAGGTAATTTTTCATTTTCAGGCTTTCATTTTTAAAAATCAGCATTCAAAAACATTTAAAATTTTCCTAGGCCTGTTTTGTTACTGACGACGCACAGTGGATTTCGTCAATTAGAGAGGTCGGAAATGAAATTTTTGACTAAAACTGCAAATTTTTATGTTTATTTCGTCACATTTTAAATTTAAAGGGTTGTTCGTTGTAGAAAATTTTACGAGGAAACCAATGGAATCACTTTAAGATGTCCAAAATTTGTATAAACGGAGTTATAAGCGTTTAAAGTTTACAAATATAGAGAACACTGCTCACTTGGAAATTGAGAAATTTCACAGAATGAATTTCAAGACTAGTTTTAGTTGAAATAAATTTCTAATTTTTTTCAAAAACTGCACTCATGTACCTTATGCACCAAGCCACTATATGACGAATTGCTAAAGCCACAGGACTTGCGAGCATGAAGGTAAAACTAGGTCTTTGATGTAGGTATTGAGAAAGAAAAGAAGAGAAAAAGTGATGTTCCAAGAAAAATTTCAAGTAACTCAGCATTTTAATTTTTGACAGCTCGATTTTTCTTAGAAAAAAAAAATAAAATTGGTGCTTTATCTTCTTGGGCTGCAAGACCAGGGAAAGAGGGAAACTTCGTTAAAATCATCACCTCACACTCAGCGAACTTGATTCTTTGATAATTAAATAAGTCAGGATTAGTTAGCATGTCAACTATTGGGCGTCAAATACTGGTAAAACATCAAAACTATGTAAGCTATGAAAATTGCAAGGGGTAAGAGGGTAAAGGGAAATGAGAAACATAAAGCTGTAAAATGGATTTGGAAATTAACATAAATGTATATTTCATAAATAAAACAAAATCAAAATAGTGTTTACGAACATAAAATTTAAAGTTCAATGCTTGACTGCATAAATTATATAAAAAATAAATAATGAATGTACAAAAGATACAAGGGACTGGAGGGACGAGTAGGTAGGAGACATAGGATATGGGGACATTATTTACAAATTTTAATGACTTTTTTTTACATTATTCTGTGTAAGTATACAAACAGAAACAATCACTAAGTTATATGAAAAATGACTATAAAAATAAGCTTGACGTTTTTGTCCGAATTCTTTTGAGTCTCAGACAAATAGGAACTTTCACTTTTTACACTAGATTTAGAAGAATTGTTAGATTTGTCTGGGTGTATTCTAAATCTGGCATCCATCCAATGTTCTACAATATATCACTGTGAAAAACGCTATTACTGTCTTTATGTTGTTGCGGAAGAAATGAGGGAGAGGTAGAAAGTTATAGCCAGTGACAAATATGAACGACGGGCAACTACTTTGCTTGAAAAAGAGACTGTCGTTACACGCAAAATAAAAAGTGTAACCGTAGCAAAATCAGAGGGCTGGATTGAGAAGCGTTTTATAAGATATTCTTCTTTTTAGTGTAAAAGTAAACTCTAACCTCTGATGGGTTGAGAGGGAGGGATCTCTTTCCTTTTGGTATCTCCTGGATACATTTCCCATGAAAGAGAAAAGAAAGTACCCCTAGGTATTTTGCGAACAATGCAGCATTTCAAGTATTTATTAGAGGTCAACAGTTCTCCCGAAATCATCCGAGATTTTAAGAATTTTGTTTTTTTCTCTTCGATTTATAAAAAACAACAACAAAAAAAACGACAAGTCCTAATAAACTTGATGAAGGGGCAATATTTTTGAACTGTTTTCACTCTAAACGAAGGGCAAGATTAATTTTCATTGTTTTACAAATGTAATTTTATGCAATTCTTCTTAACAGAACGTAAACAACAAACGAAATTTAATTACATGTACAATTATAACCAATTAAATTATCAAAACATGTTCACGATTGAGTAACAAAATATTCACACGCTAATGTATTCATTAATTAATTAAACAAATATTGCATTTTCAGGTAATGATTCAGTATACCTTGTCGATTGTGAAAACAAAAAGAGATTTTGTCTTAAAATATTGTACATTACATATAAAACACAATCTAATACAACAATAGTCGGTAAAATGATTTACAGTCTACAAAAATTAATTACAAAATAATGATATAAGAGAGACTCAAAATTCATCATTGAAAAATAAACTAATTTCGTCACATAGAAACTCATCGTAATTTTTTCTATTTCTCGGTTCTTATGGTTTGAATAGTATACATTTTAGCAGAGACATGTTAAAAAGAGAAAATGAAGGACAAAATTTGTTATAATATAAACAGTAACTAAGCGGATATGTATTTAGATATCTTTTAAGTATCAGATAGGTACATTAATTAGAACAATCTTGTTCCTACTGATGAGCTGATTAACTGAGACAATTCATTTGACTGAAAAAAACTTGATTTGAACTTGTTTTCCCTTCTTTCATATACTGTGAACTTTTCATTATTAATACAAAAAAATAAATAAATAAATAAATAAATAAATAAATGAATGAAGGAGACGAGTTTCAGGGGAGCATTGCTTCAAGCTAAAGGAAAGTTGCTCCATTTACAACAGAAAAATACAGAGTCCCATATTATTTCAATATTTAAAGAAAAAAAATCTAGGAAAGGATTTACTGTTAACTATTAAAATGCATACAATAATCATTGGTTTCATTTTGACCTAGAATTAAGTATTATTCTATAATTTGTTTCCTATTCAGTATACATTCATGTTAGAGAACTAGCGACTAGTGTGCAAGTCCTAGATTTGCTAGGGAGGATCCGTATAGAGGAGACGTTACTGTGTAGTAGGTATCTACTTTTGAACACATACTTTGAAGATAAGCTCTAGCAATGTGTCAATGCAAAAGACAAGAAACTCTTCGTCACTTTACCAAAAGATGGCTTCATAAATAAGGGCCTTTCTCTGGCTTCAAAAAGCAGTTAGACTGTGAAATCATTCTCTTTGCTGTTTCATGCCGGCTAGAAATATTATCCAGGAAAAGGCACTTTGTATCCATCAATTCGCACAACGAGTTGGCTCTGTAAACTAGATGCCGAACAAAATGCATTCTGACTTGATCATAGAGATTTTGACACATTTCTTGATCTGTCAGTCGATAAAAAAGGAATTTTTTGTTGCTCAAATAGGGGATCACCTAAAGTTCAGTGGAGTATAATGCCAAGGTTGTGTACCTAAATTAAATACCTTTAAATGGAATGAAACAGCAAAAAGAGACAGAAATTGGGGGCTTGGAGGACAAGGCACACAAGTGCAGTTTTTACTATTTCAAGAAAAACGTGTTGAAAGCTTCAAAATTACTAATTAAAAGTTAATCGAAAGTTCAAACTCACTTTTTGATGCTTAAAATTGGATTTCAGCAGCGAATTTTTCTCTGAATATAGTTTTACTATGGACTAGTTTTAGTTGAAACCATTGTATTTCTATTTTTTCCAAAAAACTGCTTTTATGCACCTTGTCCTGCAAGCCCCTCAGATTGTCGTTACCCGGACGAAAGAACGTACCTACATTCCAAAGTTGCAAAATTGACTCAAACAATTCAATTTCTTACACGAATGTACAGTGCAGTTTTTGTCAAAAATGTTTCTGATTTTTGGGTGAGATCAGAGGAAAAATTGTGAAAACTGAAAAAAAATGGAAATTTCCAGTAAGAAACGCTCGGGATTCTCCTTATAAAATTGCAGTATGCGAGGGAAAATTTGGCAACATTGAAATGTAGTTACGTTCTTTCGCGAGGGAAACGACGAAATGGACGTATTCATGCTAAAAGGAACTATGTCACACGGAAACCCCTATGCACATAGTTCTTTTTAGCATGAATTCGTCCAAATGATGTTTTGCTGAGGTCGGAGTCATCCTCATTGGACAGATTTTTGAAATGCTTCTGTGAGATTGGGCCACATTGACAAAGCAAAATTACAAGACAATAAATTATACCTTTCATCACAAAAGTCGGATGGTCTAATTGGTTACTGGTATGATATGATAAAGTGTTAGACTTACAATAAAGGCAGCATTCTAATCTAGTGATGTTTCAAAAGAGTATTTCACTCCCACGCAAGTCATCTCTCGTCCGGATCGAACACGGCAGTTTCATATCACGTAGTCAGTCATTCAGGAGAGTCAGGTCCGTGGCCGAACCATTGTCAGTCATTGCCTGGATGGGCATTGAAAGTGTGACCGCCGGGCCCAACCAGGGCGAGGGGGCTAGGCATGCCGTTCCCGTTGCTACTCAAGGGTGTTGAGAACATGTTTGATGTTGGACTCCCCATCGCCGCGTTCGGCGGGTTGATCCGCTTCTCCTTTTGCCGCCTGCAAAAACGGGAACAAAAATGAGAGTCCTGGAAAGTGAGAATGTCACTGCCGTGCTAAAGAAAAACGTCGTATGAACCTTCAGGCGTTGCCTAATGCCCTTTGATAAAACACGAATTTCTGGGTAAAATTATGAATATCTTTCTTCCGATTTTTCAGATAATCTTGTCCGCAATTTCACCTGAAGTCCCTGACGATTTCCAAGGAAAATGTTCATGGCTTTTGTCAAAAATAAACATTTTATCGGAGGAAATTTGGCAACTCTCGGATGTTCGTATGACGTTCTTCCTCAGCAACCTACAAACGGATAGACAGTTGTGGCAGTTTCCAATTTTTTCACTGATAGTGAGACGTGCAGGGTTGCACGAGTAAAATGACATCGTATGGACGATTGGAGATTTCCGTGAAATATCTCATGAAATTTCAGAGAGTCGTGAAAAATATGAAATGAAACATATTTTCAGAGATCGAGTATAAAACACGCACTAAAAAAACATAAAAAAAGCAAAAAGCCTTCCATTAATATTGCTTTTGATTTCGAAAAATACTCTGCAATATCTTTCATATTTTTTGAAATTTCATGAAATATTTCACGACTTAATTTTTCATGAAAAATTGCAACGTTACGTACAGGGTAAGAAAATGTGACCGATATTTTGTGTTAACAGCTGTAGGTCGCTTTTGCCGTTTTGGAGTCCCCAAATAAAGTGGCGACCCTGCTAATGTAATTACTACCTTCTTTGCATAGAGAGTTTGTCTTAGGGATGGAGGGTTGCGTGGGATATTCCCTCCATTACTGCCTCGACTTTGAGAGCTGTGTATGAGCCTTGGGGTTGATTTCAGAGAAAACTGGTGGCACTATCGTGTTTCTTGCGCAATTTAATATAAGAAGTATTTAAATCGCAAATTCCTGGCAGATACAGGAGCTCTATTTTCAAAAGTTTCTAACATATTCAAAGACGTGGAACGTACCTATTGCAGAACCAGACCCTGACGACCTCTTTCTCCATGGTGAGGCTGTCGGCAAGAATAGAGATCTCCTCGGAGGTCGGCTTGGGGTTCTGGAGGAAGGCCTTCTCTAAGGCGACGCGGACGCTGGTCTCGATGGAGGTGCGCTTCTTGCGGCGACGCCCGATGGCCTCCGGGGTCGTCAGCGGGTTGCTCAGCGCGCTCGGGTTCGTCATCGTGCTGTCCGCGTCCGACAACCACTTCTGGAGCAGCGGCTTCAGCTTGCACATGTTCTTGAACGAGAGGTTCAGAGCCTCGAACCGGGAGATGGTCGTCTGCGAGAAGTCGTTCCCGTAAAGCTTCCCCATCGCCAGACCCACATCACCCTGAGTAAAACCTGACAACAAACAGACAAATGATTAAATATTAAAACGGTAACAGACACATGTAAGACAGTAATAAGGGAGGAAATGAAGGAGAGAGGGAGGAGGAGAGGAGAGGGGGGAGAAAATAGTGAGGAATGAGAAGTGAGGTCAGAAGGAAAGCTCGACGCAAGGAAAGAAAAACGCCTTCAATTGAGAAGGATACTGCGCAATATACGGAAGCTTGAATAGTTGTATCATGGATTTCCTTTTTCTAGAGCAGACTCCATGCTTATCCGACATAAATTTTGAGGAATTACTTCTTGATAATTTGGACGGTTACGATTATTGAACAATTTCGTTTCATTACGAGCTGACATATTTTACGTTTATTTAATATTAGTGAAAAAATCAACAAGAGGTAAAACATGTATTTTCCCGCTGAGAGAGTAGAATTGGACTACATTTTGCGATTTGGAACTATAATTTTTGGCTCTTCTAGAAAAACACTTATGTGCATAGAGAAACCAATGGCACTTACGTTGTTTTTAAACCGGGCTAAAATTTATAGCTCCAAAGTGCAAAATGTAGTCCAATTAATGCTCAATTAATATATGCAACATTTAATCGCTTCCTCATCCGGCACCCGTGTGCCGGAGCTGTCTGCTTGTTTTTTCGTCTCTCTACATGCCTGCGGAGATGGGCAAAAATGTAAGCAGAAGACTTACCTAATTTAATCCTACGTTGCTTGAAAGTCTTCGCAAATTGCTCTAATTCTTCTAAGTCTGTGGTGTCGTCCACCTCTAGTAGTCTTGAGTTTTGATTGGCGGCTTTGATATGGTGCACTCCGCTGCCGGCGCTCGTGCTTGTGGGTGTCTGAGGCGGTTGGTTGTGGTGTTGATTGTGATGTTGCTGCTGCTGCTGCTGATGCTGTTGCTGCTGTTGTTGCTGTTGCTTCTGCAAATTTTGGATCTGCTGAGCAGCCTGCGCCACCGCCTGTTGCACCTGCAGCAACAAAAATTGTGTTTCATTAGTCAAGTTGAGGGATTGCTGTTGTAAATCGATGGCTAAAGTGCAAAACTATGTATCTTCATTGCGGTGTTTCAAAATTTCCAATCCTTTTTTTTATCTCTTTTATATCTTTAAATTCATACCAGATATTTTGCTGACAGAGTAAATTTTAAGGAAGTTTTAAAAAATGACGTCGAATAGTTTTCTGAATGACCAAAAAAGTATAACAGGAAGTCTGCAACGTCGAAACTAGAGATACGTGGTTTCTTGCTTTGGCCATCGAAATACTTCAGAGTTTTTACCTTTATTAAATACAAGATGAAAAACGTCTCAACACGTTATTTTCTCACGCGCAGTTTTGCCGGGAGTACGACGAAACTGGGGTGTGCCCTTTTATTTGGCGTGTACCTCAGTGAAATCTTAGGTTTCAAAAAACATAAAAACAATTCGTTTTGAATTCTGCCCCAATATTTTTTTTAAATTATTCAGGTAATATTGCACGTGACAGCTTGGTATTATTGCCTCTTAACGATTTCACTAAATTACAAAGATTATGGAATCCAATATTTGCCGAGGTGAAGGTTTCCGACAGATTCAGCAAATTTTGGCGTGTAGTGCGATTGGCAAAACTTGGCGATCGGATCATCGTGCTTGCTGATTACGCGGAATGCAAAATTTGACTAAAAAATTGTTTTCTTATGTCACTATAAGAGTCAGTGCTACCGTAATTGTGGGTAAAATGTAACGGGGCAGCCGACGATTATTAGGTACAATGCTTTTTGCAAAATTGTAGCGACGTTATTCCAAAAATCCTGATAAAATGCGATGAATCAAGCAGCAAAATTGCTGCAGAATTTAACTTTTGACTTTTTCCTAAGTGAGCGGGCATGGAAGTTTACGTGTTTACTCGTACTCTAAGACAGGAATTGAAGGATAATATTTTATAACTATTGTCATGCGTTCAAAAATCTACGGTTGTACTACTTTCTTGTGATTACAATAGCTAACAAGGAAGAGAATAGAATATGAAAGAATGCAAACCTGGATAGAGTGAGTGGTGCTGCGAGGAGGAGGTATGTTCTGTCGGGGAGGAAACCTATGAGGCAATACACCCTGAAAAAGAACCATCACCTCGAATGAGACACATGCCAAACACAAATTACTCAAAAAAATTGGGTTTCGATGTGATCTACAAAAATATAGACCAAATACTACCAATCACATCGAAACCATTCAAAATGTCATTATACTCACCGTATAGTTCACGCATTCTGCAAAAGCAACCGCTACATTGATTTTCATTAAAGAATTCCGACCCTTATTGTGAGAGCTAAAAATTTTATTCGGGGGAAAAACAATGAAAATTCAACGACTCATCCCCTGCCTAAAATATGCAAGTTTCGTCGTAAATTAAAACAACGAGTAAAGTTATTATTAAAAGATATCATCTGATTACATTATTTTATAAGTAGGTGAGTATTTTACATTAGTTCCCATTGCACAACACCTTGCCTTTCCCCCGAAATTCTAAAAGAATGAAAGAAATGTCAAGTAGGTGAGAAAAAATTCGCACGACACTAGAAACCTCGATCTTTTCACACGTACAGGAAATTGGTAGCGGTGGCAATCAACAAATTAGTCCTCTATTCGTTGACAGTATATTTGAGATATTTTTCTGCGGCAAATTCTCGCGTTTCGCGCGACACCCCATCGCTAATTATTTCATCCCAAAATAGAATCAATCATTCCTGAAGTGAAAATCCAGCGAGCGATGCTGTCGCTTCATTGGGGATTGGTTTTACACTTTTGTGAAATCGGAATTATGCGGAAAGGAACTTCAGAATTATTTAGATGCCGTAGATCGTTCTAATCTGGTTCTAGCTTGCTCGTTAAAATTTCGCTCAAATTCCACCGAGGATGCGGCGAAAGCACAGTATCTCCAACTACAAAATTTATTCCGACTCCCGACTCAAGTTTTCGTTTCCCGCACGAAAGAACGCAACTACATTTCAATGTCGCCAAATTCTCTCGCAAATTGCATATCGACGGTGAAACTACCAAACCACGTATCTCGGTTTGCGACGTCGCAGACTTCCTGTCATACTTTATTTTTTAAATGAAAAACTACTTAACATCCAGTCTTGAAAATTTCTGTGATTTTTCCTCTTTGTGCGGAGAAAATTCCGTGAAAATTTCAAGGAATGATATTGATTTGGTCTACTTCAAAAAAATAAAATGTGAGCGTAGATTTTTAAACACCGCAAACGAGATACGTGGTTTGGTAGTTTCACCGTCGATATTTACCAGGAGAATCTTGGTCTTTTCTACCTGAAAAATTTTGCTGATTTCCCTTCTCATCTCATAAAAAAATCAAGAAAATTTGAGACAAAAAGTGCGCAAGAACATTTTTGTAAATAATTTAATTTTCTGGGTCAACTTTGTAACCTTTGAGAGGAGTTAAGTTACGTTCTTTCATACGAGAAGCGACGAATTGCTCCTTGCTCGGAAGTGTCCGTATATTTTAAACTTGCGGTCACGGTTGGAGCAGCGAACTTGGCAATAAAAGAGGAAATCTAAGTTTTATCAGAATGAGGAAAAAAAGAAGAGAAACAATTTGAAGTTAGAGACAGAACACCCAGTAAAAGTTCGGTGGCTGATAACAGTTGGATCATGGAGTATCGGTCAACCAAAAATGTTTTCGCCAATATTACTGATTGTGAGACTAATGTTGTCACTAAATTTTCAGTCGAACCATGAAACTTACCGCACTTCGAATGGTGTCAGAAGGCATTAAGTACGAGTAAATTCGAGCAAAATTTTACGATAAAGATGATATATTTTTGTGAAATTAAAGTATGTCAGTAAGAAGCTGCCTCAAAAAGTAACCAAAATCATTCGACTTAAGCACTCGGAACATTAATCAATGGTTCGAACTAAATTTATTTAAAAACTTCTAAATTCACTTTTTTCTCAATGAGAAACCGTAGAATTTCTTCAGATTTGAAGTTTTTAATCTCATACTGTAAGATTGAAATCACTTCGGGAAAAAGGGACAACATTTATAGAATAGTCAATTAAGAAACAATTTGGTTGACCGTCCGTAAAAAAAAAAAAAAAAAAAAAAAAAAAAAAAAAAAAAAAAACTACGTGAGAGATACTTGTGATTTAAATGAAACTACTAAAAATCAAATTTTTCACAAGAAAACCAGTTTGATAGAAAAACAGAAGGCGTATTTTATGGGCTGAGCTTACCTGATTTTGTAGGAAGAATTGTGCCTGCGGAGGGAGCTGCTGGCCGGCGTTGGGTTGAAAGAGGCAGAACTGCTGGAGTTGCTGTTGAAGCGAGTGCTGGTGCTGCTGAAGCGTTTGCTGAAGCGATGAAAGTTCCTGAGGGTTCAGGGACGAGAGGTTTGGAAGCGGCAGACCGCCTGACAGCTGGTTCTGGAGTAGAAGTGATTGGCCTTGTGCTGCACCGAGGCTCATCAACTGTCGGAAAAGAAAAATTGCATTTAATTTTTTTTAAAGCTTTGAAAAATTACATTGAATTTTGAATAATTCGGCAGTCCTTGCGCTATTGCGTGCGAGAAGGTTTCTTTAAAATTATCTGCAAAATGTCTAGATGCATCGTAATGTTATGATAACATCGATCATCTAAGAAAAAACAGCTGATTAATGCGCAAAACGAGTAAAGGATAAAACAATCAAATGCAATTTTTTTTGGTGGGAGAGGGGGAGGTGAAACACAAGTACCACACGGTGTCTCACATTTTTTTTATTGTAATTTCAGTTGAAACGATAAAAAATCGATCACTTTAATGCCGCTTTCTCTGATATTCGTGGTCATATTTTCAAAGCGGTATAGAGTCCAGTTACTAACAATGTAGAAACATTACCGGTGTCTGAAATTTTTATTTTCAAACTTCATTGGACGAAAAGTCGTACACGAAACTGAAAAATTTCGATTTTCCGTCTATCAGTTTTGCTTCGATAAAACTTCCGACGAGGCAAACTCGGTGCTCCGGTCAAGTCCGGCCAAGTCCCTTCTGATAATGCTGATACAATTAGTCATGCAGAGCAGTGTACTACATTTTATCTAACCTCTCAAAAGAAGGCACTTCATGAGCGCAGCTGACCCGCGTCTGGGCTCGTGGATGGTGAGGCCGGTCGGTGCTTGTCAAAGAGACGCCGCCTCATTAAAAGAGGCATTGCCATCTGCCAACTAACTCTCGTCTAATTTAATTAAATTTAATTAACTGAACGTTACGACAGTGATTGGCAGAATTTTTTACACCCCTTACCACCCGGTTTATTTAAAATTCGCATTGTCGTTGGTCCATCCTACGAGCTGTCCTCGATAATTAGGAAAGTTGTAAATTCTCTACGGGGAGAGAAGGTAACATTCAAGCACTCTTCAAAATAAGAGAAAAAAGAACTCAAATAAAAAATGAATTAACTCATTTGGGGCACAATCTTTTGTTCGACTTGGGAGATCAATTTACGAAACATAGCACTCGGGTAAAGAGGGGGGGATCGCTGGTAACTAAATTCTCAATTAATTTGGGGCATTTTGTCCAATTACTCGGGTTTCTAATTTTAATGAAGGAGACACTCTGAAAGTATCTGTATTTGTGCCGTTCAAATGAGAAATCTTCGTTGAACGATTTAAAAGACATAACGTACCCATTCGGGCCCATCTGATTTATGTATTGATCCAAATCTTCCTCTTTTTTCCTTTTTTCATAAGAAGTAAAGGTTATCAAAATTTCCTATTCCTAAGTGGAACTGCATAGTAACGCATAATCTCAATTTTCAGGAGGATTTACTGATCCGTTTCAGACCATGGTTTGATATGGTTTTGACAGTAAAATTACCTGATTTAGAGAAAGCTGACCAGCCTGCAGCGCCGCTAAAGCTGCTTGAACGCTTGCTGTTTGATTGCTACCCGCCACAGGACTACCTTCACCATTAGGCGAATGTCGAAGTGACGTATCGGTTACCTGAAAAAAAAATTATCAATCATTCGAAACTTCTGCATCTAAATATAAAATTTTAAAAAATGCGTTCTGAGTTTTTCAATAAAATCGCGCGACCTACCCGGGAACAAAGAGATGGGTAATGGGTAAAATGTATAGTTCTCATGTAAGTGAAAACATAGATTTTCATACAGCTATCCCACCACTGTAGTATGTTAATAATGCGCGTAAAAGTTTGAACGCGGAAAAAAGGATCCATTTAAAAGAGAAAATGCTATTTGTCCTGCGCGAGGGTGCCATTTCCGGAAAGGAAAGTGTTTCAAGGTCATTATCGAGGACATCTTAGAGGGACTTTTAGGTGACTCGTTGATAGTCAAGTGGCATTGGGGAGAAAACCACCCCGTGCGAGATAGTAGACTTACGTTGTTTTTCCATTATGACGGGGGTAAACGATTAACTGTGTTTGAGTGTCTTGGAGGGGTCTTAAAACAAAGAAATGGAAAAACGGAAAAAATCTGTGAATCAAATTGCTGGTAAGAGTGGGGTATGGTGAGTAGATGCAGATATAAAGCACTGACGTTGTCTGATCAGTCAGTAAAAAAATGTTTTTTAGGGCTTCGTAATGGTCATGTAAGGAGGATTCGAGAGAAGCCAATTTTTTTATCTCATTTCAACAACGACTTGTTTTCTTTTGATTTCATTCTCTTCAAAATTTCACGAGGAAAATGAATCGCAAAGCGAAAAACCTAGAAATTAACTCCTAAACAAGATAAAAGCATTTAAAATCAACATCAGTTAAACGGCAAAAATACAAATGACGTCATTTTTATGATCCAAATTAAAAGATACTTATTTGATCTAAAATAAAGATACTTGTTTATATTTCGTCCAGGAGTTGATTTCTAAACTTTCCATGTGTGAATCAAATTTCTACTTAAAATTTTGAGGAGAACCGAATGCGACTCGTCAATACTACTCGTAAATGTCTCGTTCAGGAGCAGATTTTTTGTTTTGTTTTCGGGGTTCTGTTCCTTTATTGATAGTCTAGGAATCTGTAGCCATAGGAGCAGATTTCTGAATCTCCCTTGAGCGAATGAATTTTTACGTAAAAATTTGATGAGGAACCTTAAGACTTTTTTCCTATTGAATACTGTCTAGTGGCCTATTTTCCAGGGAACTTGACAAAACAGCCAAGCCGCGAGTCCGAAAAGGCAACTCTTGCAGATCGGGACGAGGGGACATTCGTCAGGGACAGCCGAAGTCGGAGCCACCGACTCAAGTATCTGCATAAGTAGCCCGCTCTCAAGTGGCCATGCGGCCCCGGCTCCCAGCAGAGCTCCTATTTTGTCACATTTGAATATCCTCCTTTACATACGCGCCCGCGATAAAATTACACCTTCTCAGGCAATAAAAATACGCTTAGCATGAGTAATGCACCCGCAAGAATTGTCTGTTTTTGACGCGGTTCGAGCCCGTAGCTCGGTTCAAGCTCCACTCTTGTCTTATCGCCTCACAGTGGCCAATAAAAGCGGTCGGACTTGAAATTTTTCGCTGAAATTTCAAATTTTGACGTTCATTTTGTCACAAATTCAATTCCAAGGGGTGTTTCTGAAAGTTGATTTCAAGGAAAACCCGATAAAACCACGCTGAATTTTTTTGTTTCATATTTTCGAAAATATAAGCTTTCAAAGTTTCCAAATTTTGTCCGACTTCTCTTATTGGCTCGATCCACTGTGCGCCTCTTAGGACTGCAATTTCAGTGTAATTGCTCTACACCGATTGTCTACTTTCTTTTTCTACACTGTGGAAAATCGAAGTTTTTTAGATTTGGACGACGGCCCCTATGTTACGACGAGTATACGCATGCAAATATAGTATATCTGATGAATGATGGTGCTTACTAGATTCAGGGCACCTCCTCTCTCGTCAGCAATCGAACTTGAGATGCTACTGCTGCTATCATCTCCGACACCGTTGACTCCTGCATCTGTAAAAAACAAAAAAAAGGAAAGCGATGAGGAACAAATAAAATTACCCAACAAAGTTTAGCAAAAAGTAACCAAGCCCATAGAGCCACTTTACTTAGACTTTACCTTAGATATCCCGCACTGACAATCAGTGGCGCGGCGTGATTTGCGATATATCGATTGATTTGTCATTCAAACCTCTGGAAAAGGATCGATAAAAAGGGTGTTTTGCGCTTATGGAGCTAGTGTGAGAAATCGGAACAAAAAAGTTCCGAATCCCGGAACTTTTGATGGACATGCAATGGGAGCACTGCATTCCCGATGGATTCCCCGCACCGGCAGCTCGTTTTCGCGTGGAGATGGCTCAACTGAACGTATTTCTGCCAAACGGAACTATGTGCACTATTACATGAGCCCTGTTATGCATACATTCTAATGGGACTCAGGGCTCATGTCTTAATTCACATAGTTCCGTTTGGTAGAAATACGTTCAACTATCAATCTCGTTGATATCGAGGATTGAGGCCAGCCCAGGCCGGGCAAGGGTGGCCTAATTAAAAGCGCACGAGGCCGTGGCCGTAAGGCACAATGGCCGCGCGTCGAGCCTCCCCGCGTCGCGTCGCGGTCGCCCGGAAAAAACGCCCGCATGAGAAAACGGGTCCATACGGGTTTGCTCGCCCGACGGCGACGGCCAATCAAAATCAATTAGGAGCTGAGTGGCGGGTTGCC